GTGAGGAAACCTGGAAACAGACAGGCGTGAGCATCTTGCTCTCGTGGCAATAATCTTCGTGACATCAGCAAGGTTCTATCAAGAGAATATCAAGAGATTTTTCAAGATTTGACAAAAATCGTCAATCACCAAATACCGTTGCTCCACGAAGATATTCACATGATTACATAATGTAACCCTAGCATCGACTGGCAGAATATTTCTACTCAGACTACTCGCTGGCTGTGTGAATTGTTTATGAGCTGCAAATGGGTGGTGGGGGGGGGTTGCACGACCAGCGATGCTGTTGTTTCTTCGACTTTACTTACTATACAGACTTTGCCATTCACGACCGCCTAGCCATGACCTGCTTTTTCTGGCCCAACTGAAGCTGCTATATATAATTTTAATAGTCTCTTCTCTAGGCGGATACCTGGTCTCTCCCGTTGTATAGTTTTGCATCTCTCTGTTGGCACGTAGAACAATTCTTTCCTTGAAGATGGCCTGTCCATTTTTACTTTTACATATTCATTTGTTGATGAAGCGCTGTAACGTTCTGAATGTCAGAATTACTATTTCCGCTTTGCGGATATGATTAGCTGAACAAAGTATTATAGAAATACGAATAAAGGAAAAAGGTGTGGGTTAATCCATAGATTGTAGGCAACCGAAGACTGAGCGCCTTGCTGCTGCACTTTACGGCTTGTCGTACTATCCCATCGTTCCAAGATATCGATCAGTTATTTTAGCAAGTCATTCATGGCTGTGGTCAAAACATACATCTTTGGTCTATTACCCGCAGACTGATGTTTACCGGAACCACCTGACTTGATCATGGGTAGTCTGTGAATCTAGCAAGTGGACATTCATGTTGGAAGTTAAGTGAAATGTGATGAATTCGTCTGCAGATGGACAGTGACTCAATGGAACATCACCAATTGTCTCGACGCTCCCTTTGCTCGTGCTTCAGCTTCGTCGGTCGACCTGATTCACGAAAGTTGTGTATAGCGGTGCCTGCAGCCCGCCACCTGCTGTGAGGTGCGGCTCGTACTACGAACGACATAGACTCGACGCTATTCGTGTATGATACAGATTTCTGAGCTGTTTTTGATGATCTGATAGTCTCCAACGACTGACTACCCATCTCCCCTATATTTCTCACACGATGTCTAGAGTATCGAGCAAGGCACTTTGTCGTAAACGTTTTCAGCATCTTTAAAGCAGGCATGAAAACCTTTCTCACACTTAGAACGTTGGGCGGAAAGCGAAGATGTAGCAAACTGTTTTAAGACCGGAATGAAATCTTCACTCCTTGACACAGAGTTGTTTACTGTATACGTCATGTTACACTGCATTGGCGGATTTGTTCCACACATTTACTGTAGCCTACATTTCGGTAGTAGTCGTGTTTTTCATCAGGGAAGGTAATTTTGACGATATTTCTACA